TGATGATGATGATGATGATGATGGTGGTGGTGGTAATGATGATGTCCACTTATGATGACTGGAAGGATGTCTGCTGTGGGTGATGCTACTGTGGATGATCTCTGGTGATGATGCTGATGATGATGATGTCTATTGATGATGATACTGATAATGATATCTGTTAAGTAGTGATGATCATGGTGGCTCTGAACATATATTTTGATGATGGCGATGATGATTTTTGTTTATGATGACTGGCAGGATGTCTGTTGAGGGTGATGCTACTGTGGATGAACTCTGGTGATGGTGATGATGGTGGTAATGATGATGCCTACTTATGATGATGAGGATGTCTGTTGATGATGATGATGGTGATTAATTCCATTTATGATGATGGTGATGGTAACAGTGATGTTGGCAGTGTTATATCTGTGAGGATGAAAACATTGTAACAATGTTACTAAAGCAACTAGAGTGTCTTCACTGAAAAAGACATGAATAACATTGTTGTTTTCCGATAAATGATATTGATCTCGCTTTTAAACTCTGATGAACCATTTCCGAATTATATAACTGATTCCAGGGTGACCAATCAGATCCATTAACCTATTCAAGTCAACTAGTTTATTCTAGTGATGTGAGTTCACCCGTATGGCTTGATGGGATGAAAGTAAGTTAACGTAGAGCAAGAAATGAAAAGTCGTTGCACGTGCGCTGGTAAAACCATTCGTCTTGTAAACTGTAAAGCTTTCGCGTTGCACACCAAGGTGCAGGATTTTGCTGCCCGTATTACTTCGCATTAATAATGATAATAATGATGCTGATAATATTTTATATAGCTTCAATTCCAGAAGTTCAACAACGCTTCACAATTTTAATACATTATATTCACATAGTAATGAAATACGATCATACTTCATTCAATGAATTCAAACAATTACTAAAGTATTTTAAGATTAGTAAAGATTTTTTAAAATAAACTTTTATTACTACTAATAATAAGACATAACGTACATATCGCATTAAGCGCTATCTTATATTTATTTTAAACGTGGAGAATGTTGGAATGCCTCAATTTACAAATGATTTCGTAAGATTAGAATTAAGTTTAAATTGACTATAATCACCGTTAACTGCGTTAAACCCGAAGTCAAATATCTTTTTGAAATCGTATACACCGAATCGAAATATGGCGACCAATATGAATAACTGTTGTTCGGAACTGACTAACCTCGTGTTCAAACGTGGAAACAAAAGCGTTATGAGAGGCTAATCAGTGCAGAACAACAGTTATTCAAATTGGTCGCCATATTTTTTCGATTCGGTATAAACGCTGGGCAAATGTCACTATGCAATACAAACACGCGCCAAACCAGATATCTCTAACAAGGCTTCTTCTCTCACTCGATGCGATAATGAACTCAAAGTAATCTTTCTTTTTTTCTTCAGGCTTTTCCTCGTCGCTTATACCATCAATTCCTAGTACTCGTCGTACATCTGCACGAGGTAACAGTTGACTTTTCCCAACACCAAGAGGTTTATGGTCTGAAGGGACAGGTAAGGATGAGATAATGCAATAGAGAGTTTTAGATTAACTTTTTTTTCTCCCCGCAAACGGCAAACGTGACCACGTTTTCATAGTTTTCGTGTATTTTACTTTACCTTTTACAAACCTTCTCACCAAGCGCAAATACTCTTTTGTTTTTCTACTACTTGGACTTTTTTGCGATTCTTTTTCAGTAATTTAAAAGAATTTCTTACTGGTCAACTGACGTTTCACGTTTGCCGTGAACGTAAATCTAAAACTCTCTAATGTCTGGGACGTTTCGGTAAAAGATCGGGGCACAAATACCTTCACGAAAGATTCCGACTTTCATATTATTCCAATATGTTCAAAATACTTGTTAGCAGTAGGAAGGACACGAGTAAAGAAAGTCTGCACATTATTGTAGTCTGTATGCAGATTAATCCAAACTTTCTTCGTATAGAGGTTTTGCACCATCACGTGACCACGCCTATAATACAGCTTGGGCTACCTGTGGTTGGATGGCAGAACAATAAACTCCCTTTGCTCTTGGGAATTTAATTCATTGTTATACTTTGTAGAACGATTGTATTGTTGCTGCCATCTAACATGGCAGCCGTCACGTGATACTACAAAACCTCTATTCGCCACTTCCAATACAACGTCTCACTGGTCCAACGCGAAGCATTCAACCGAGGCTGCAAGGTTAAAATTTGAATTATCCTTCGAACCTCTTAAAACCTGATTTAATGCTTCGTGTGTGACCAGTAAATCGATGTATGAAAGGTGGTGAATGTATAAACTATGCGAGAATTGATTTTTTTAACTTTGCCTGACTGTATTACTTAACAAAAATGACCTCCAAAAATTATCGGGAAAATATTCCGCGCTCCGAGCTGAGCACCTGGACTTCAATCAAGCCTCATCACTCTAGCGCATGCGCAGATTCGCATGTTAGGGTCATGACATTTGTTATAATTATTCTACGCAGGCTTGGACGGTTATACAAGTGTTCAATGAAGGATACGTCTTGAATGGATCTTATCAGCTGCCGCTTTACCAAGGAGAACCTTCTGAGGTAAGATCGCCTTTATTAGAAACCCGCCCAAAACAAATTACCTACAGTATTGAAACAGCGTGCATTATTGAAAAAGAAAATAGAAAACGCGCGCTATTGTGTGCAGTCATAAAGCACACAAGGTTGTCAGAACACGAGAGAAGTGTGAGGAGATGCACGACCTGTAGCGTAGCGAGTGTTCTGCCAATCCCCAAGTGATTTATAACTTCACACAGCACAGCAAAACTAATAGACATAAAAGCGCAAGCTGGGTGATCATGGCATTAATCACTTTGCATTCTCCACACTTCATCATTACTAACCAACATCGGAGGGACGTAAAAGAACCACTGAGGACGTAAAGAAACCCTGGCAGTGACCACCTTCAGTGCCTAAACCTCATACTAACTACCTTTCATGATTGGTAACTCCTTTGATTATATACACATAGAAAGGGCTCAATATAAATTATTAGTCATTAATTATTAATCATTATGATATATTAATGGCGGAATATTTCATTACCAGTCCATACTGGATGCTTTACAAAATGATTATTGTCACGATGTTATGGCTGCTTTCCGTCGAAACCAAAAGGTGAGTTTCTGAATCATCTAACGAGGTGCCCAAATATAGATAACATAAAAATGAAATAGGAATCAATAGTGGTTCCACAGAGTGACTTTTATTCCATTGGATTCCAATTGGAATTTAGAAGTTGATTTTTGCCGAGAAGAAAGCCGCAGAAGCTGGCAAAAAAACCTTTTAAATTCCTTTTATCAGCAGCTCTTTTAATTCTCGCGCGGGACGTAGCTCGATCCATAAAATCATTATCGGTAATGTAGATATTTTTGTGTTTTTTTCCAGATAAAATTCCTTGAAGGAGCGTCAGTCTTTCTTCGCCTGTCAGACTCGCGGAGAGAAGAGGAGCTTCCCAAACCAATGGTATAATTACTTTTTATCCGGTAACAAGGAAACGATACATTCATTTTTCAATGCATATTTTATTATTTGTTTCACCTCCTTTTATCACATTTCCAAGAGAGTCAAAAAGCAAAAACATGGCGGCCATCTTGGTGCGGTTAACAATGGATGCTAAAGGAGAAATCTTTTGATCGCTCTATACATCATGAGCTCCTGGCTCGGGAGAATTGCACAACCACTCCCCGCGATATCAAAGTAAATAAATGTCCTTACCTTATATTTTGTTTTTATTAGTCGCAAGTTATACAAGACTACATCCCCAAGGAAAGACTCGATAGATACACAGTGTTAAATCCATCAAATCCATTATCTTCCATTTTGCCTGCCGGGGTCGATGAAGACGAGTTTTGTTATAGTCTGCCTGACAAGTTTAAAGAGGTATGTATAATGTTCAAGCCATGAATTCATTTATTTTTTATTTTTTWATTTTTTTATTAGTATTGAATGAAAGATCATGATAAACACGTGTTGGACTAATTATTGATTCAATTTGATTGGCTGAAACTGAAGAAAGAAGCAAAGTTGCGGAAAAATGGTACATTGCCGACTCTATACACCGAATCGAAATATGGCGACCAATTTGAATAACTATTGTTCTGCGGTGACAAGCGACTGACTAGCCTCGTGTTCACGTGGAAACATAAAAGCATTTTCACATGTATAGGAGGCTAGTCAGTCGCTAGTCAGTGCAGAACAATACTTATTCAAATTGGTCGCCATATTTCGATTCGGTGTATGACCGAGACCTCGCTACGCTCCTGCTTTGACTTTCAGACTGGATCAGTACTGTCCTCAACAGAATGTGTTGAACATTTTCCACTAGAAAACAAGCCAATAGACCATTTCACAGATCCCGCGGCTCAACCTCAGCCTCGTCAGCGTGTAATATATTCTTTAGAAATTGCCTACAACCTGTGAAATTTTTAAGTGTTTCAATTGTTCGTTGATGTATAAATTCCTTTCATTACTGCGGACTGTAGTCAAATTCTAAAGAATAATTACACGCTGACGAGGCTGAGGTTGAGTAACGGGATCCGTGAAATGCCCTATTTGACAAGATAACATTTTATTACTTTCAGATGATGAAACACATCTTTGCGAAAACGGTTTCAGAACCCAGTCAAAACCAAACATAGATTGGTTAAAAGCTACGATGGTACAGTGACACAATAGATGACTTCTCTTATCAAGCTGAAACAGCCTAAAAGACTTGCACTGGCCTCTTTTTGGCCCTTTTGGCCCCTTTCAATACTACGAGGTATCTTTGATGTGAGACTAACAGGAAAATGCAAAAGAAGTCGACCTTTTTCTTTATTGAATTTGTGGCATTTCTTTTGTATTGTCTTTTTAAATTGCCACCAAAGTCGCATCAAAGTTAAAAGTAAAAGGGGTTTTAATATAACATTCTTATGTTGTAACGTAACTAGTACACATTGCATCCAACGATTTTTTCCATTCATGGAGAGTCGGTTAAATAATTTAGATAGTAAAACTTGAATTAATTCTTGGTAAAACTTCGAACTGGAATTCAGTTGAAATGGTTGCCGAATACTAATATATTTTTATGACATTAACCTGAAAGTATGTGTATGAAGGGAATGTGTGCAGAGACAGGGAATTCCAGGTAAAAACTCACGACCTTTCGTGTTCTAGTCGGACGCTTTAACCACTGAGCTACTGGGAACTCGAATGGTGAGCAAGACAAATGGACTGCATCGTGCAGTCACTGTAATGCGAACGCACTAAATTAATTGTATCGCGCTGTCACGTAAGACAAAGTCTCTAATAATAATTGTGAGTATGAAGGAAATGTGTGCGGAAGCAGGAAACCCAAAAAAATATCCAGATGGGAACCTGAAAGAAAGAAAACAAAATCTTTTAAAACGTGCAATGTAAATAACTGTAGAAACTTCGACCATATGTAGTAGCGAAATGGACTTTTTCGACAATGCGGCGGCCATCTTGGATCGCAAAGCATTATTGATCGTACAGGGAACAAATATACAAAGCTGTGTTACAGCAATGACGTCGATTGACATTTCACATAATTTGAAAAAGTTGAATCAAAAAATAGTCAGTTCCGCACTGACTGATTTCTCAAAGATAGTGGAGTCGTAATTTCAGCATCTTTGGATTTTTTTTCGAGTGACCCATAATGCGTTGCGATTCAAGATGGCCGCTGCATCGTCGAACTAGCCGTGGAGCTACAACATTGAATTATTTGTCTCGGTATAATAATATATTATAATTTATTTATATTTAATACGCAAATTTTCTCTGGTGTATTTGTTTTTGTGTCATGAATGTTCTGGTTGAGTGATAGCAAATATTGGTCACTAAATAGTACTATTTGTCAGTATCAACTTTGTTTTTATTTCATGGTTTTACTGCATGCGCTCTACCACAGAGGAAACTAATGGTAGGCAAGATAATGGAAGAGAAATAATGGAAGATTTCACATGTAAGATATTGGTGTTTTATTTTTCTCCGGTCCGGTATCCTAAAAAATCTTGCGTTTTGATTGGCTGTTTGAGCGGGCGGTATTTTGTCAGTATCTATCAAGTGCCCTACTAATCGGGGAGACAAACCGCGCTCGCGGTCCGGTATCCTCTGCCGCTAAACACCAAAACAAAACGATTACAAAACAAGTTTAAAAAAATACGGGGAAAAAATAAATAAGTTATTTACCGTCCTATGGTCGGTCCGGATAGGGAAAAACTGTGCCCGAGGTCTTGAATATACGGACCGAGGCCGTTATCCGGACCTCCTGGCCGGTGAATAACGTATATCTATAACTCATTATGCTGATATTTTATTATTTATATTTTCATCATGAAATAAGACAAGTGGGAACACGATCTCTTGTCGTCCTCCGTAGAGTTTCCCTCGTTAACGATTCTTGGCAGAGAAAATATTAAGCGCTTTTCTACATTTGCTCATGCTTACTACTTATTTCCGGTTAAAACCTGTTTCAGAACTTGTTTGGTACGTCCATGGTCGGCGGTATTTCAAAGAAACCGGCCTAGACCGGCAGAGTCTCCCATTTTCTCTATATATTTGAATACTTGTCTTCCAATCGGTAGCAATGATACAACAGGTGAAATAATTCAATTTTATTTTTCTTCAATATAACTATCAAATTAATGTTTACGAATCATGAACCCTTATGAGTCAAACACACACACACGTTCTTTATGGTATAACAATAGTATCTCAGCATGACCTGAACAGGTTCGTTGAACTCAAAAGGGACGTACAGTCATTTCAACAAAGTTAGTCACAAAAACCTACGAAGCCGAGACAGCAGAGGATCATGGAAAACATTTCATATCCATCAAGTAAATCTTTTGATACACACTGCAGCTTGGAGATTTTCACAGGAGGTGAAACTGTAGCTGGTAAAAGATCTCAAGTCTATCAACAGTTATCAAGCGGTTGAAACGTAAAAAATGTAACTACCCATAATTCTTGCAGGTCACAGCCTTGCAGCTTTTCACATGAGTAACTTTATTGAAATGAGTAGATCTATAATACGAAGCGCCTTAGAAGAAGCCATTTCTGAGGGTGATGTTACCATATATCATTGCCAGCTTATTAGGACAGAAAGACTTGAAGGGGAGCCTTGTCGCCATTACCCATTGCTGCAATAAATTTGCAGTTGATCATTGTGTTGGTTCCAAAGTGCCATTTCCCATAATCGCCTGCTTCCCAAGCTTCTTTTTTGTATGTTTTGAACAAGGTCGAAGCCTCCAAGTTTCTACCAGGGTTGGGATCTTGATTTATAATCTACGTTATAAAATAACTCGTTACAAATAGGCCGTTTGCATGATGGCGCCATTTGACTCTCACTACCAAAATGCTTCGCGAATTTTCTTTCTGATTCAAATTTGTATTTTCTCATGAGAATAGCAAGACAATTGGCGCTAATTAATTGAACAAAAGAAAGTGTGCAAGGGATTCGGGTAGTGGTAGTAAATGAAGACATAATGCAATTGGCTTTCTTGAGCACACAGCACCTGCGCTTCGGAAATAGAACGACTGTTAAAAAGGAATTTAATAAACCGATGAATATCAGATCGTGCATCTTTCATACCTTTACCAGAAGCCTATTCGTACTTCTCCAAACAGCACTCCAAACGATCAATAGATAGCTGTTTCCTATGTTGTAGGTGAGAACACCTTCTGTTCCCTTCAGTCCCCAAAATGTACCTAGGAGTATAAAACACCAGGAAAGTGAGATACACGGACAAATTGCTTTACTAGTGGCATGTATTAAGGATTATTTAATTTAGCTGGCAACACAGAAGAACTGCAAGATGTGCAAAGGATGATGACAACGTAAGACAAAAAAGAAGAAAACAAGGAAGTAAGGATGAAAAGGAGAAAAGAAAGAAGGAAAGAAAGGAAGAAAGAAAGGAAGGAAGGAAAAAGGAAGAAAGAAAGAAAAGAAGGAAAAATGAATAAAGGTAGAAAGGAAGAAAGAAAGAAAATATTTGAATTTAAAAGGAAAGGAGTGAAAATGAAGATCTCCTGTCAAGCTGTTTGGATTTCAAACAGAGTTAGCACTGGAATATGAACTAGCAAGCGTAGTTATATTCCTATATAAATTATAATGCTAAAATATTTTGCTGTCTTACTTGGATGTCTCTCAAAGGTGATGACCATTGTTTCGTTGTTTCGAAGAACATCAGGAGGTGGCGCATCGAACTTGCCATCCACGATGTACCAATGTGGATCAGTCAGGTCTAGTTGATGGTTATTGGTCAGAGATATGGACACTGCGTTGTCCACGCCAACCATGGACAAGACACCAGACATCATTTTACCAAGTTCCGATGCTGCTGGTTCATATTCTTTTGCGGTTTTCTTAAATTGTTCAAAGTCACGACGATTGGCTAAAGGGAAGAAATGAAAGGAAGGAATTGCTGAATTTGTTTAAAGCTTGCCCTTTCTACATGCATTAAAGGGCATATCTACGTCAGTACCGACACAACTAACTCGCAGATCGAGCCCTGAAACAACAGCTGAGCTCATTTAAGTCAGGACACGACTAACTCACAGATCGAACCATGAAGTAACAGCTGAGCTCATTTAAGTTAGGACACGACTAACTCACAGATCGAACCCTGAAACAACAGCTGAGCTCATTTAAGTTAGGACACGACTAACTTACAGATCGAACCCTGAAACAACCTCTTGGCTGATCAAAACCAGGGCATGACCAACTCACAGATCAAACCTGAAACAACATCTGAGCTCATTTAAGTCAGGGCACGACTAACTCGTAGATCGATCCCTGAAACAACCTCTGGGCTGATCTATAAGTCAGGGCATGACCAACTCACAGATCAAACCTGAATTAGCCTTTTGGCTCATCTAAGTCAGCACACGGTTAACTCACAGATTTAATTGGAATTCAACGTGTTTTTATGTAGTGAAGGAAACCGACTGGAAGAACCTCAAAGGAGAGACTTGCCAAACCAAGTCCAAGAATCGAAGTGCACTACCGCATGTAAGCCACTTTCCCGTAAAACGCTTATGAAAATTTGGAAAAGTCCAGTGTACACTCACCTCCTGTGTCAACAGTTTTCGATGTCAGCCCCGAGTTCTGAGCAAACGGTGAACTGCCTATCACCAACCTAAAAAGTTACATGCAGAATTTTGTTAAATTTGTTAAGCTCTAAGAACCGTCTTATGACAAACTTAAACCGACTTACCCAAGCAAAATGATCCAATTCATTTTCATTCTTGTCTGCACTGGTAGTCTATGGAACCAAAGAAAAGGAAAGGAAGCATCAGACACTAAGCGTCGACGATATATTATTAGTTTCAATATTTCTTCACTCACTAGTAACTCATGATTTTAAACTACTTAATCAGAGATTTATAACTTTAATTATATTTCTTTAGTATATCAGTTACGTATGCTTCTTTTGTCTTACTTTGTTTTTAGTTTTGTTGTTGTTGTTTCTAATGTTGTTGTTGTTGTTGTCGTCGTCGTCGTTTCGTTTGTTTGTTTGTTTTTGTCTTTTTGTTTTGTTTTGTTTTGTTTGTTTTGTTTGTTTTTTTGTTTTGTTTTTTGTTTGTTTGTTTGTTTGTTTGTTTTTCGTTTGTTTTTTTTTCGGCTAACGTACGTACTAAATTGTACCTTATTTTGGACATAAACACGAGGACTTATACTACTCCATAAAAGTTTCAATCCAAATTACTCACCAGTTTCAGTGGTCCTCACTGCTACACGAATTGAAGACAAATGAATCAAAATCACAGTTCATTTACTTTTTTCAAAACTGTGATTCCATTAAAGCGTCATTTAAAATATTAGAAGGAATTTGAGAAATTCACATAGGCGTTTCCACGTGAAAACAGCCACCCTGATAAACTGCTTTAGTCATATATTAAAACATCTTTCATTAGGGTTTTTAACTTGGAGGAATTTTTTCAAACTCTATTTTATGTTTCTTTCTTTCGAGTGTCTCTCGTTAGTTAAAATTTTCCGCGAAACTCCAGCTGTGTAATTCAGCATACAGTATTCAGTATTCATAAAACTTCCTTTTCAAAATAAGCTGCAACGACATTCAACATTTTGGAGTAAAATTTTGCTTTTGAAAAATATGATAAATGAGGAGCAGGATCCAGTATTATCTTGTCATAAACTATTTATTGCGTTTTTGTAAAAAAAATAATAATACAACTCTTCAAATTTAGTGATTATCAAGAATGTAAGAATCGACATACGAAAATTTTGTTCAGAGATCAATCACTCAGCCGGTATCTCTCCAGGTTTTCCAGCTAATGGGATCGGGTTGTCACGGGTAGAAGGAGGAGATAGGGGGAATATGTATACGTTGATTGAACTCTTTCAATGTCTTAGTGTCTGGAATCAGAACAGCGCTGCTGGTGTTCAATTGTCCTGGAATCAAAAATTCACGACATTTTTCAAATCTCTGTTTTATTGCATTAAAATGTTTTAATGATCAACACGAAATGGATTAACAAATTTTTTGAATATTTCGAAGTCAAGAATCAAAACTGTTTGCTGATTGGTAAAGAAATTGACACGGCGCGACAATTACTTTTACGTCACGATAAAGGAATGACATCAGGCGGTTTATGATTGGCTGGACAAGGGAGCAGATCATTGTCGTTCATAACTTGTTATTTCAAAAGGTGTTTGTAGAATTGATACAAAGTGTTTTAATCTTCGGATATAGCAGACTTGGTACAGGTAGGTTTTGTATAGTAAATCGCACGATCTCGAGTACAATTCGGAATTTATAGGCACGAGTGATGTTTTGAAAGTTTTCAAAATTGGACGAGCCTTTAGGCGAGAACTTTCAAAACATCACGAGTATCTATAAATTCAGAATTGTACGAGAACATTGTGTGATTTTTTGTTTACAATACCACTCAACAAAATTGAGGAATTTAATTGGGACTCCACAGATTACAATTTGGGATTTAATTGTACTCCTCTTGTCCAATCAGAATGAAGTAATTTTATTGAGTGTATTATAAAAATAGGAATTGTATATTATAAGTTTCCTTGCATTATTATCTTTGGGATTCATAATTGTTCTAAAAAATAATCGAAGCACGAGGATAGGTATCTAAGAGGATCTAACTCAGTTCAAAAAATACCCATTTTTTCATGTTCTTTCTGATGGCGATGCTTATTTTTCAAAATTATGATGCAAAAAATCAATGGCAACCATGCTCGCATTAAGCCAATAGGCGAGGAAACATATAAATATATGAACATTTTCAGAAAGTCGTTCTTTAAGTGACGAGAAAATTGTTCCCAACAATCTCGATTCTATAACTTTTCAACACTCAACACAAAAAAAAATTAATCGATTTTTTTTTAACTTTGTTATTTTATAGTAAATTCGCACCATTGGAATTCATTTTATAACGTATTGTGCTTGTACTAATATAAATTGCTTTTTTCTAGGAACTTATGATGGAAAGAATGTGTCGTCTTTTCATATTTTGCTTTGGGTAAGAACGTTTCAATTATTTTTTTATTTTTTTTTCTTTGGAATTATTTCTTTAAATATGCTGCTCATCTTCTATCTTAACGGCAGACCTGTTTATTCTCATGAGAATAAAAACCTTTGTTTAACCCACCCGCATAAAGTTATTCTCAAGCACTTGAATGCAATAAATGCCAAACTACGGAAATCTTTGTTCCAGTCAGAAATGGCTGCCGCGTGAATAAGGCCCATTTGATAAAAGGACGTGCTCTGGTTTTTGCAAACTGATTCAAAAATATCGACCGGATCCCCGAGCATGGTTTTATCGAAAAAGTGAAATAGTAAGAAGGTGTATATATTCCAACTACATAATCAGATGCAAGTAGCCAAGTATAAGACCTGGTTTGAAACAAAAAAAAAAATAAGAAAAAAAATCCAGTATTTTATAATGGCGAACCGAATCAAGGACAACGAACTCGAGAAAAGTAAGATAGCAATTTCTGTTGCGATGTTTTGACACTTTTATATTAGAGGCATATTATATGCCGATACGCATTGATGATGATGAGAAGCATTGGATTCTCTATGAACACAAGTAAAATACAATTTCCCAGAAACCATCTGTAGTAACCTGGGCGCGGGTCATGTGACTCTGGAGCGCGGGACTCGAGAGCAGCCATGTTTGTTTGACAGTGTTGAGTTTGTTCAAGAATCAAGTACTAGATTATACTGTAGTCGCGGGCTACTTCATTATACCATCTTGGTCATTGTTTTCTTTTTTTATCATTATTATTACTTTTAAAAAAATATAAAGATGTTCAAGTAGTGTGGAAGTCTATGGATTAACTGTTAATGACCATCAACATCGTTATTCATCAATATATGTAATGATATTGATGATCATGATATTGATGAATATTGATAAGCATGTTATTGAATACTTCTACAGGCTGATAGCTTTCCCGCCAAACTCTGTTACCGGCCACCGTGGATATCACCTGGTTGTCAAGCCTCAAAACGTCTCTGAAGTGGCACGTGAGTGTACCACCTGAAAAAAGTCTTGATTTGGCTACCTGTGTCCCACATTCCTGTTAAACTTAAAGATCTATTCTATTCCTTTTCCGTGTTTCAAAAACCCTCGTGATCGTGACTTGAGGGTCTTGAGGTTTTTTGAGAGTTTCTGTTAGTAATTTCAAACCTCTCTCTATTGTAACTTCAGCTCAGCGAAGAGCATTCGTTACGGAAGCACTGACCGTTGGGAATGTTCTGGTATCGTTATGGTCTTCAGCGTGGAGTGACAAAGGAATAGAAATAGACATATCAAACGAAATGACGACCTCTCTCAATGATCCCACATGGTACATGCTCCATGGACATGCTGCCATTCTTCCTCCATTCCTCATCGAAGAGAACGAACCGTCAGCAAAAATTAAGTTCTTCAAAAAGCCAAGTAAGTCAGGTTACACAAAGACGTATGGGGGGAGGTGTGTGGTTTTTCTCACACCAGAATATACACCTATTTCAATAAACCGGTAAAGAGAAATAATGGGGTCATATTTTAACGACTCTAAAACAAAATAAAGGTACTTTAGTTAGAGTAATTAGGAGATCAAAATGACCATGAGTCGGCATGTCTCGTTCGTGGTCTCTGTAAAAACGTTAGTCAACATACCTGCTACCGCAACTTCCTTTTACAGAATCTTTTCTCTCTAAGTGAAATAAAAAGAGCGCAATGTCTCTGTACTGTGATCTAAGCACAATGACAGCTGTAGAGTACGAGAGAAGCAAGCTTAGGAACACGCGGCTGAAGGGTCAGCGGTAATACAGGCAACAAAATCGTCCAAAATGTAACACAACATCGTTGCGTTACGAGCTACAAAACGAATGATGCTCGTTCTAAAGTGTACCATATATTGGTATAACGCTAACTAACAAAACTGAGGCTTACTGAACTTACTAATTTGTGCAAATTCGTGCAATTCCTTACAAAGTTTTTTAACGGAAATATGGAATGCACTCTACCATCCCGCGTGCAATGATACTCAAGGAAATGCCTCGTGGTCCGATTTGGCCCAACACCATGCACAATTAGTTAAGTGGTCCTTTCGAGTTCATACCATTTCTTTGTTTGGTTATGTTAGGCAGCGGTTTTGGCACAGAAGGCGCAGCATCGTATCAGATAACCAGGATTCCCCAAGGAACACTTAGTCTTGTCTTTATGTGGAAAGTACCTCAGTTAGCTGATATGGGATTTTTCGTCAAGGTAAAAATATCACTAATTAGTAATTCTTGACATTGCATGATTAGAATCGATTGTGATTGGATTGTTGACTACAGAGTTAAATTTGGTTGTTTCGTTTGCTTATTGGTTGATGGTCTTGTCATTGTGAATGTTGTTTGGTACGATACAGCGGGATGGCTGGATGGCTGGATGGCTGGATGGCTGGATGGCTGGATGGCTGGATGGCTGGATGGCT